GGATTGATTCAGTGACTGGGGTAATCGGGATGGGTGTGTCAGAGGCAGTGCGGTTGGCGCAGCATAGAGCAGGGTTTAGGGCTGTTGTGCATAGGGTCGCTATGAGTCGGAAACGACTCGACGGCACATAACAACAACAACAGCCCATAATACTGTTGACGTTTCTCAGGGAGAATGATTTGAAGAGGAATTGATCTCCAGATCTCGGAACATAATAGTGAGCTTATTTCTTCAGGTAAAAAACTCAAACAAAACCTCAGACCCCTCCCTGCGCTGAGTCGGAGCCGACTCACGGCTTACCCTTTGGTGGGTTTTCAGAGGCTGTATGTACATCGCACGGGTTAAGTGCCCTGTGGAGCCACTGGTGGATTCAGACCTTTACATAGATGAGACGCGTGCACCACCAGAGCCCCCTCAACTACGTTGTCCAAGCCCGTCACTCAGGAGAGAGGCTGGCGAACAGGTGACCATCTGAGAGCCAGAGAGGCTCACCTGCTGGGCTAGGGTTTGCAGCCAGGAGATAGGGCTGCTGTCGTGTGTCCATAACTCCATCCCTTTTATCTCTGACTTGTGGGGATGGGCTTTCTGCTGGAGCCTCAACCTGTAAGGTTCAAGGCCATCTCCTGAGTGGTGGCTGCGAAAATGGCCAAACAAGGTCAGTATTGGTGACAGGCAAGGCCCTGTGACTGCATCGTTTGTCCTGAACCTCTTGACTGCATCTCCTTGCCTGACTACTGTGGTGTGTGTATCCCAAGTTATTTTGTTACTTTATTTTAGCCTGGGGATAAATTATAGGGCTTTTCTCATGCTGTGGGCAGCTCCCCTCACCCAGTTATGAAAATAATATACATGTTCCTTATAGAATGTTTAGGAATGTATATAGAAGGAAGTGAAAATTGCTCATAGGACCACTTCCTTAAAAAACAAATGTAGTCTCTATTTCCTTGTAGTTATTATGTACAAAGTTGAGTTGTAATGCTGCGTGACGAGTGATTATGTAATGTCCAGCCCCGTGGCCACACTGTAATCTCTGTCATTGCCCGGGTGGTTTCTGCAGACTTGGCACATGGGGATGTGAGGTTTCAGTGTTTCCTTGTGGTTTATGGAGCACAAGTGCAGCTCTCAGAGTGGACAGTTGGCCAATATGGCTGGCCACGCCCTGTACAGACAAGCTCCTTTAACCTTTTGTGAGATGAGATCAGTCTTTGTGTGTGGGTTGAATGCATCTCCTGTCTGTAGCAGATCTTACGAACTGAGGCAGACAGTTTTTCTGAGAGGTGTACCCATTTCCACTCTTAACAGTGTGTGGGAACTATATTCTGAGCTGCATTAATTAGAATCTTTGTCAAATAGAGACATTTTCTTGCTTTAATTAGCATCTCCTGTATTACTGGTATGAGTAGAGCTTTTATAAATTTTGCTGGTCAAACAGTTCCTTTCCTCACTTTAGGTATTCTTATAATGCATGTGTATTTGAAGCTCTCTACACTGCATTTTGTACCATGTTTCTTGTCCTTCCTAAAGCATCACACTAACTTGATCTATAATATTTCTCTGCACTTTTCACTGGGTTAGGAGTAGTATTTTGTAAAATTTCATGGCTTGCATTTTGGAAAGTTTTATATAAACAGAATTGCACTGTGTTTGTCATTTTATAGTTTGCTCTCTTTGGTGTGTTTTTTAAATGAATGCTGAAGAGTTTGTTCTGCTTCATTAATTTTAACAGCAGCAGCAAACCCCACTCTCTTATTCCGCCACAATGTCTTCTGTGGGAATCTGTGCTTGTCTTATCTGCTTGTTTGAGGAGACTTTGTAGTAGGATCTTTGCCAAGGATCCCCCTGAGCCCCAGGGAGTTCCGCTGGCTCAGGCCATGGATCGTAGTGAGTTGTGCTACTTACTGAAAGGTCTTTCCTCTTGGTGGTTTTCCATGGGAGACAGGCTCCTGCTGCTGTGGTTTACAGCCTCAGGAACCTGCTGGAAGACGGCTGTGGGTTGGACCTGACTGACAGTGAGCTGATGGCAGTGAGCAGCTGTGACAGGTCGAGGGGTGGTGCGAGTGGTTAAGCACTGGAATAATAGCTGAGAATCCTGTGTTTGAAAGTCTCTCAGGGTCTGTGGAAGACAGGCCTGCGATGTACTCCTGAGAGGCAGTGTGGAATGTCCTCGGGAGTGCTGTCCTGGTCTGCTCACTCGGGGACACCCCGAGTCGGAATCAGCAGGACGGCAGCTCACGCCCGGCAGTAGGTGTGAGGCCCAGTGGGTCATCAGTGTGGCTGTCCGCTGTCATTTACCCCAGCAGGTTTTCTAAGGCCAGTCAATTCTAAGTTTAAATAGTTGCATGCTGGGTCACCTGCCTGCTGTTTTGAGTAATGCTGTGGTGTGTTTTGTCTGTCCAGAAAAAAGAAATGATGTAAAGGCCTCACGTTGGAGACGTTGCAGGAGGATTGGAGGACATGGCTTGGCCGGAGCGTCTTCGGAGAGGCACGCTGGTCTCGCGGTTCAGCCATCATCACCTGGCTGTGTTCCTGCTCACCTTCTTCAGGTAGTGAGCTGCTTACGCTCCAGACTCTCGTGTTCCCTGCCTGGGACTGGGTGGCACGTGAAGCAGTTGTGGAACACCTGTGATTGTCCTTTTTGGTTGCTCCAATACAGGGGTTCTCAACTGGGGTACATGACCATGTCTGGGTACCTTTATGGTTGTCACTCTGAGCGGAGGGCCATTGGCACCTAGTGAGTAGAGACCAAGGATGTCCTGCTAATGAGCCCATGATGCATCAGGCAGCCCCACCACGGTCCCAGGATGCATCAGACAGCCCCACCGTGAGGTTTTGTTGTCCCAGGATGCATCAGACAGCCCCACTGTGAGGTTTTGTTGCCCTAGGATGCATCAGACAGCCCCACCGTGAGGCCTTACTGTCCTGGGATGCATCAGGCAGCCCCACCATGAGGTTTTGTTGTCCCAGGATGCCAGAGTAGGCACATCTTCTGTTCTTGGGCTCTGCAGGTACTGCATCCTTTACAAATGGGAGGTTCGTGGCAGCCCTGCTTCGGGCTGGTCTGTTGGCACTGTTTTTCCAGCAGCACTCACTCATGTCTGCAGGTCACCTTTTGATCATTCTCATAGTTTTCTGAACTGTCACGGTGCTGTTGCACACTTCATAGACTGTAGGCACGTGTTCTTGTAGCTTACTAGCCCTGGGAATCCACAGTGTCCACGTGACTCCCTCTGTTGTGACATCCACTCTGTTGTGATGGTCTGAAGGGACACATGGTCCTGAGGTTGAGAACCTGTGTCTAGAGTCCTGTAGTTGTTAACATCAACACTTAGAGAACAGAAGCTGTGCATATTCAGGGGTGCCTTGTGCTCTAAGCAGCAAGAGAGGTCTGTGCCGGTTTTGTGGAACTCTGTTATGTAGAGAGAGACCCCCAAGAGCGCAGCCAGTCCCACCGGCTAGCAGCAGGGACATCACTGTCTGTCAGCCTGTGGGGCGGGCCGTTGGGGGCTGGGCACCTTGTCGTGCTGAGTCAGCTACTTAGACAATTTTTCCTGGATAGATTTTCTTGAGCCACAGTTATTTTTCCGTTTTTAATTTTAGGCAAAAACTAGGGAAAAAAGATCTGAAATTATAAATATTTTATAGATAAATTTGGTTGGTTTTGGGGATGGTCACAGTGAGTGGGATGACAGGCATCGCTAAGAGGAGGAGACATGGATGCAGGGGACAAGCTGCTGACTGTCTGGTGCAGAGACCCTCACGAGTGTCCAGGGGTTCTTAGAGACCTGGAATTCTTCACAGCACGGCAGGGGTGGCTGCGAGGGCTGGGGTCCCTTACACTGCCATCTGCCTGTCACAGGATGAGTATGCATGAACTTGACTCCTGATGTAAGGTGGCTAGTTAGTTCTGTTTTCTTGTTTGGATGGTAGAAATGGTCTCAGTTGAGTGTTCTTTTTTTTTTTAAATTTTTTATTATTACTGTGTGTGTGTGTGTGTGTGTGTGTGTGTGTGTGTGCGCGCGCGCGCGCGCCGTCAAATCGGATCTGACTGGTACTGGAGGAGATTGTCCCTCCTCCTCCAGCAGAGTATCTGGTGTACTTGAACTGCTTTCCTCTGGGATTGCAGTGCAACTTCTTGCCACTAGGCCACCAGAGCTCGCCAGTTGAGTGTTCTTAATAAGCTAGCTTCCTCCACCTTTTAAGTACTGCTCCTAAATTGAGTACAGCAGAGATTAAGATCTGTGCCTTGATTTGGTACGGTTTCTCAGCTGTCCTTTCAAGCTGTACTTCTGTCTCCTTAGTTACTCACTGCTCCATGCTTCAAGGAAAACATTTAGCAACGTCAAAGTCAGCATCTCGAAGCAGTGGACGCCGACCGCCTTCAACCAGTCTGCCGAGCTGCCTGTGGAGGTGAGTAGCACAGTGCAGGAAGTGCTGAGAAGGGAGCCTCAGCCCTGTCCTGTCAGGTCTCTGCCATGCCCTCATCGGCTCAGGGCACTGAAATGGCTTGGCTTCCTCTAGTGTAAAATCCACTCTCTCCACCTGATTTCAGGGCCTCCTGGGAGCCAGGCCTGGTGCCCTGCCCCGTGACTCACTTCCCACTGCCAAGGAACCCCGCCCTAAGTCCAGGAGGGTGCAGTTTCCCATTGGCTGCCTAGGCCCCACGTCTTCTCTTGTGACCTCACTTGCACATGCGCTTTTACCTTCTCTTCACCCGCCTGAACCCTGCCTTTCTGTTGGGATGAAAGGTTACCTATTCAACCCAGTTTGTTTAAAAGTCTATTGACTTTTCCTTAATCCAGTTTGTGCCTTTGTTTGTATCTTCTACTCCTTGAAGTCAAGGAGTATGTATACAATTTATTAAATTTCTTATGGGCCCGGTAGGATCTCTGATAACAGCGTGGGATGGAGGTGTCCTTCACAATGCCCTATCCTCATTCCTCTCTGCTCTTGTGATCTTCCGTGCGCTCTTGTGAGCTGCCATGTGGTCTGTTCTGGAGAATGTTCCATGTGCGCTGGAGAAGAAGGCATGTTGGGCTTTTGTTGGGCGCAGTCCCACTGCCATTTGATGGACAGGATGATTATTTTATACCTGCCTATCAGTTTATTGTCATCGTATGTGATCAAGAATTGATGACATTGAAGGAAAAAGTTTAAGCCAGGTTGAAGGCACTGGCAAAAAGAAGACCCCAGGAACTGACAGATTACCAATTGCGTTTTGCGTTTGAACAAACGGAGCAGAGCTGAGCGTGCTCAGTCGTCTATGCCAAGCAGTTTGTAGAACAACTCCCTCGGCAGCCAGTTGGCAGAGACCCTTGTTTTCATGCATGCCAGATGAAGTTAATCCAGCAGAACGCAGAAATTATGCAGTAGGCGAGCTCTGCTGGCCTACTGGCGAGAAACTGCACTGCAATCCCAGAGGTGAGCAGTTTGAATCCGCCAGATGCTCTGCTGGAGAAGGAGGAACAGTCTCCTCCTGTACCAGTCAGATCAGATTTGACGGTAAACACACAAAAAAATAATAAAAAAAAAGAAAGAAAGAAAAGAAATTATGCAACAGTGTCATCAATATCACAAGCAAGTGAAGTTTTGTTGAAGATCATTTAAAAGTAATTTGCAGTAGTACACTGAGAACAGCCAGCCTGATTCAGGAGAGGACATGGACAAGGGTTGTCTTTCCTGAAAGCAGCTGGATCTTAGCTGACAACAAAGAGTACCAGGTAGATGTTTACCTGTGTTTACGTGACTGTGCAATGCATTTGACTGTGTGGATTATAATACGTTAAGGGGTTCTGGTGGCCTGGTGATTGGAAACTGTGCTGCAATCCCAGAGGCTCAGGGTTTGATTCCTCTGCCTGCTCATGGGAGGAGGATGGGCAGTGTCCTGCTCTGTGACTTACTGTCTCTGAAAACCTGCTGGAGGGTCAAGTTTGGGTTGGTTCCTACTTGACAGCAACAGCAACACAGGTGTGACGAGTGACAGTCATAGAGCGCTTAATTGTGCTCATGTAGAATCTGTACATAGGCTAAGAAACAGTCATTGAGACAGAAACAGGTTACCACAGCATGGCTTTAAGATTAGGAAAGGTGTGCGCCAGGCTTGTCTCCTGCACGTGTTGACCATGATAACTCTTTCATTTAGTCATTTGTTATTACTTTGTTGACATTTAGACAACATACTCTAATTCAACTACTTAAAATCTTAAAGCTGGAAGTGGCTGTAGAGAGGTCGTGTGCCCTAACGTCTGGGTGGTGTGAGCCCATTCTTGGCTACTGTTGAGAGGTAATCATCCAGCTGTGTTTAAAGCTCTCATGGGGCAGAAACTAACCTTTTGCTGAGATGGACTGTTAGATTTTTCCCCCCCTTTCACTCTTTTTTCCTTAATGTTAAGATCTTACCACTGTTTCTCCCCCACTGAACTATCTTCTCAGACATCGCCCTCAGCCATAGTTTGTCCCTCGTCTGCACAGCTCTGTGTGGCTCGCTTTGCCATCACCAGGGTTGAGTGGACAGGCCTAGCTGTCAGGAGTGCTTGGCAAGGTGTGGGAGGTGTTAACCCTCGCTGTCCTGTTCCTGCAGATCTGGAATGCCAACCATCTGTTCCCCAGTGCCGAGGAGGCCACGCTCTTCCTGGGGACGCTGGACACAGTTTTCCTCTTCTCTTATGCTGTGGTGAGTTTTGGAACTCGGGAGTTTGACATTAAGGAAAGACAGAAGAGGAGAGGACTGAGCCTTGTGAACTTTGTGAGGGTTTTTGGATTTGCTGCGCAAGCACACATTCAGGATTTCTGAAGCTTATAGTCCTTCATTCTCTTAGCAATTATTTAATTTAATTTTTTTTTACAAATGCTGCTGTTTATTTTGACATGTTTCCAAAAAAATCAAAACTTTTCAAACACAACTAAGATATAAAATACAGCGTAAAATGAGATTTAACAATATGGAATGCTTCACGAATTTGTGTGTCATCCTTGCCCAGGGGCCATGCTAATCGTCCCTGTGTCATTCCAGTTTTAGTATATGTGCTGCCGAAGTGAGCACAGCGAACACTTATTGAGAGACTACCATGGGCAGATACTTTCCTAGGCTCTGGGAATTCCTCAGCAAACAGAGGTTAAATCTTTTGTAACGCTTATTTTCTCAGGATAGAAACCCAAAGGATGTTACAGAGTGAGTGTAGAGGTGATGTATGTGGTGGAAAACAGGGACAGGGAGAAGACACTGGGCAGGTGTCCTTGAAGGAGGTGGAAGTTGATTGGTGTGGTTAGCACTGGCCTGGGGGGGGGTAAGGGGAAGTGGGGGTCTTCCAGGATTTAGAGTCATGCAAGACAAAGAAAGGGCAGGCAGCCCAGGGTCTGGGAGGAGGGAGTGCTTCACTGCCGAGCTCTTCTACTGAGGGGTCTTGTACTGGAAGCCAAGATCTCTGCTGGGGTGGCGCTATGACACCGGTGTCACCACAGCTGACCTGGGTTGGGCAGTCTCACTTCTGACCTTCTGTCCACGTCCAGAATAGCCTTTCAGTTGTGACATGGAAAGTACTGGCTACAAGTCCTAGAACAGTCTCTGAAGGTTTGCGTGGAAAATTGTTAGAATTTCTTTACGTAGAGGGCAAGTAGAACACGTGGGAAGATGGCCACGTGCTCCACCTCATCTGCTCAGCTACCATCCTCCACTTGGTGGGCTTTCGGGCCTTGCGTGTTGGGCGCTTGCTCTGCTGTGCTGCCTGTCCTCTGGGGAGTCCTGGTGTGGTCATGGTAGAGGTGATGTCTGTCACACTGGTCCTGGTCCACCTACCCTCTCACAGAGCCCGTTTATGGAAAGTGCTCGGCTCTAACTGACTGAAGGATCTTCAACATGATAGGGACCATATTTTACTCAGCAGGAAGAGAATTGCACCCTTTTGCTAATTGTACATTCCCACCTTGAAGCTAGCTTCCTGTGCATGCTGTCGGCCTGCCTGTTGTTTGCATGGGTGTGTTACATGTGAAGGTTGCCATTGTCATTACTCCTCTCTCTCAGAGAACCTAGTGTGTTGTCCTTAAGGCCTTCAGCTTCCTTTCCAGCCCTGTACTCCATGGGAGGTGGGTAAGAGCAGAGCATTTGTCCCCGGGCTGAGAGCCTTGGCTCTGATGCCTCACGGCCCCACTTGCGCTGCTAGGAGTCAAGGGTCCTGTTAGAAGACCAGTGTTCAGTTAGACGTGTCCCCCTGCTATGCCTCCCCTGGGCCTGACTGAACCTGCATCCTAGGTCATGTTCTCTAGGGCAGGGCCCTTAGAGAAATGCTTCATGGCTGAGGTTGAGGAGGTAAACTGACCCAGCAAACGGAGAACCTCATGAGCCTGATAGGACCGTGATCCGCTCCTCAGCATCTCAGTCTTCTGGTAGCTGTCAGGATTGGGTGAAGCCAGAGCTGGTGTGGTCCTGTGTCCAGTGAAGAAGCTCGCTGTTCCTCCTTGAGGCTGTCCGGCTCCTCTTAATGGAGACTCCAGTCTGGATGTGAGAGGAGGCGCATTCTCTTTTCATGGTGTGTCAGCCTCGTTCACTGTGGCTGGCCTGTCCCTCTTCTCCAGGCCCGCTATTCCTCGCAGCTTTGACGTTAATTGCTCTGTGTTTCAGGGCCTTTTCATCAGCGGCATCGTCGGGGACCGCCTCAATCTGCGATGGGTCCTGTCTTTTGGCATGTGTTCATCTGCGTTAGTGGTAAGTTGAAAGGGTCTTTAAGAAAAAAAGCTATTTTGGCATGCGCATAATCTCCCTCGTTATCTGTCTGATGTGCCCCATTGCTTGAGTCGGTCCTGACAGTGACCCTGGCTGACAGAGCATCCTGCCCCAGGCTTTTTCCAAGGCTGCAATCTACAGAAGCAGACAGCCACGTCGTTCCTGCTTAGAGCAGCTGGTGTGTTTGAACCACTACCCTTCGCGTTAGCAAGCTGCCAGAGCTCCTCATGCATATATGAGAGAATAAAAAAATGACTGCAGCTCCCTGCTCCCCTTTCTGCCTTTTTCCAGTCTGTCTTTGGTAGCTCTGCCCCTGGCAGTGTGGGGTCCAGATCCCACAGGTGGCACTGAGTGTCCTCCCTCTAGGGGCCTGGTCCTCCCCACCCCACCTCACCCTCCCTGCTCTCTGCTCTGCTCGGCACCTGCACCGGGTCCTGTGCTCCCAGCGGAGCCGGCTCCTGTCTCTGTCCCTTTGTTCCCACTGCACCTTCTCCCCGATGGGCTCTAGCTGTCCTGTGTACCCCCAGTGCCGTTCTCTGCTGACTGCCCTGTCCCCCTCTTCTGCATCAGCCTCACCTTCCCTCAGGGTTAGCACAGTGAGGGTGTTGAGTGGGCTGCCTTCCCCCAGACTCACTGTGAGCCCATGTGCAGAGCAAAACTGCCCTGTGGGTTTGGGGAGCGGATCACCAGCCTGCCTGTCATGAGGCGTCTGTCTGTCGTGAGGCCTCTGGTGGATTTTCATGGGCAGCCTTTTGGATAGTAACTGAGTGCATAACTAGTGACCATCCTCTAGGGTTATACACCCAAAGCCCTCAAGTCTGTTAGGATTCACAGGGACCCCCAGGACACAGCACATTGACCCCAAGGGTCCCCCAACTGTAAGTCCTGATGGAAGCAGACTTTTATCTTTCTTCTGAGGAATGACTGGCGGGTTCAAACTGCCAACCTTTTGCTTAACATTCTGACATGAGGAACTCTGCTATGAGGATGCCTTTCTGTTTTTAGGTTTGATTATTGCAGAATGTTCTGTAACTGGAGTCATACATATTTTTTAAGCCATTCATTTACTACCTACAAGGCTTTATGTATAAAATTAAAACTGCCTTTGAGAAGCAGCCGCCTGATGAATGCTGCTAACTTATTTAACAGGTCAAAGCCTGGCAGGCTCAGTTGACACTGCAAATCATCGGCCGAGGCCGCACTGATCGTACGTGTGCCCCAAGTCCTTGCTGTGCTGCGGGCCCTGGTGGTTCTGAGGTCATGGTTGCCACTGTGTGCCCCTCGCTGTCCTCACTCAGAGACCTGGGATGGGTTCTTGCCCCATCACCCACTGTGGCTCTCAAGGGATCACATGCCATGTCTGCCGCTCCCTCCAAAGTTACTCTGCTCTTGTTTGGAGTACATGTGAAGGGTCAGTGGCAGAGTTGGGGGTGGAGTACATGTGAAGGGTCAGTGGCAGAGTTGGGGGTACAGCTAGCACCCTACTTCTTACCAGTGGTGCGTGCAGCCAGGGCTCTTGGACAGACAGTCGGCGACTGGAGGTAGTTGTCTAGAGATTATGCCCTAGACTCTGCAGTCAGCCTCCTTGAGTTACTGCGTGATTTGGCCACAGCACTTTCTGAGCCTCAGTGTTCTCATCTCTAGAATGGGGTTAGTAACAATAGACTTTGTGTCACAGGACTGAGTGTGAGTGAGCAGGCTACATGTAAGGGGAGTCCAGGTCCCGGGCATGGCCAGTCGGCTTCTTTTGGGCTCTCTGCTTAGCACCCCTCCCATCTGTCACCAGCTTTCCTGTTCTTGGCCTTCCATTCAAGTTTTGGGTATTTTAACTATGAGATTGAAACAGTTAATGAGAACAGCCCAGTAAACATAACTGAATGTGAACATGAACATGGGTATTTAAAGAGAGAAGTCTGTAACCATGGCTCTCCATTGTTGGAGCTTGTGGGGAGCAGAGTCAGGTCCCCCCCTCAAGGGAATGACTGTCCTTTGCCCCTGCTCCTCAGTGCATCCCTCAAGCCATGTGCGTGTCCAAGAACAACTTCCCGGCATATGCTGCTGGAGACAGTTTTCAGGATGTTGTCTTGTTTAACTAGAACACACTTGGACACTTGAGCTTGTCATTTGAAAGACTCAGAGAGTCTGGAGAAGCATCTTGTTCCCTGTGGATGAGAATTGTGAGTGTGGTGAGGTGTGGACGTGTTTTGTCCTGTGTGAGCACAGCAGGTGACAAGGTTGCTGTGACTTTTTAAAGAAGCTGGAATTTGGGTAAAATGATCTTGAATAGCAGCTGTGATTAGCAGGGTGTGATGGCTGTTGCATTTTAGAAACCACACAAGGCTGTATCCTTATAAGTTCTCTCATGTTTCCTGACAAATGAGGACTGTCCTTGGGAAACCCAACACAAAAGCTGTAAGATTTTCATCTCCCAGACTCCACATGTGAATGAGCCCTCGTACTTTGTGGTAAGGAGTTGTGCTGGCAGCCCAAAAGTACATGGTTCAAGTCCTCCTGTTGCTCCTTGAGAGGATAGGCAGTCTCCTCCTGTGTGATTAACTGCCTCTGAAAACCCGCCAGAGGGTCAGCTCTGGGTTGGTTCTGACGTGATGGTGCACACAGTAACAGGCTCACAGTGGAGCCTCCAGGTAGCAGTGCGTTCTTCAGCCTTGTGTGTGGGATTGGGAGCCTTGGCGTCCTCTGCTAGAGTGACGGGCTCAGGTGTTTCGTGCATTTTCCCTGCGCTCTGCCCTCTCCACCTTTTCATTTGGTGGCTGTCCTGCTCACTGCTGCCTTGAGCAGGGGCATCAAGTGCCCCTCCATGTCCCTGAGGTTCTGGGTGTTCACTGGGTCAGAATCTGCTGCTGCACCAGTTACTGGCTATGTGATTTTGGCAAGTCCTCTGAGCCTCAGCATTCTCACCTGTAAAATGGAGTCAGTAACAGTATCAGAGCAGAGCTGTCCTGCCGATACGATCCCTCTGTTTGTGCTCCTTCTCTCGCAGGTCTTTGTCTTTGGCACTGTCACGGAATGGCTGCATTTCTACAACAAGTGGTTCTACTGCTCCCTGTGGGTCGTCAATGGCCTGCTGCAGTCCACCGGCTGGCCCTGTGTCGTCGCGGTCATGGGCAACTGGTTTGGGAAAGCGGGGTACGCCATTTGCTTCTCTACCGCAGCTCCTTGGAGCTTAGGTGTCTTCAGAGTCTGCTGGCTTGATTCCTTCCACGACTGTGCAGTCAGGCCAGCTCAGGGAGAGGGACCTGGGGACTGTGGGAGGGGAGGCTGGTCCTCACGAATCACTTTCCTGGCCTTGTGCAGAACTGAATGAGCACTCAGGTGGTGTGTCCTGGTTGCCCCTGAGCTGACGCTTCCCCTGGAAGGTCTGCCTTGTCGTCTCACTGGGGTTGTGCCTTTCACTTCCTTCTGGAGACTTGCCCCAGCTGCAGGCAGCGGAGGACTCAGATGTGCCCATGTGCCGTGTGTCTGTTCAGTGGAACGCCCTCTCCCTCCCCCTTCAAGTCCTTACTAGCCTGTGTGTGACTTTTGGTGCGTTCATTTGATCTTTAGTCCAGTTTGCAAACATTTTATTTTTGAAGTGGGTGTAGATTCATGCCCATTTTCTCCTCTTTTATTGGGTTTTGAGAGTTCTTAGTATTCTGAGTACAAGCCTTTGATCAGTTAAGCAATTAGCACATGACTTTCCTAGTCTGCATTTGTTTTACTCTCTGCCTGTGTCTCCCAGGGACCTACAAATAGGACTTTAGAATTAAACTTTCAGAATTTGCTGAGACCTGAGGTTTGGTTATGTTGAGGTGGTTGGCGTGTCCAGGTGGAACGCTAACTCAGTGATGTCATTGGCATGGTTTTGGGCATCCTGTGCCTGGACTGCCTCTGACCACCATCTCTGTTCTCCATCTCAGGCGAGGCGTTATTTTTGGTCTCTGGAGCGCCTGTGCATCTGTGGGCAACATTCTGGGGGCATGCCTGGCCTCCTCCGTCCTGCAGTATGGCTATGAGGTGAGTGGACAGCTGAACCTCGACTAGCCGGGCTTGAGCTGCAAGGCCCATGTCCGCTGCTCACCCTCTCCAGGGGCAGCATCTCTCCAGTAAGTTGCATGTCACAGATGAGGACAATGCCATTGTGCCGGGGTGCGCTGTGGGGCAGGTGGTGTCCCCACCCTGGGTTCAAGGGTCGTGTGTATATTCTGTGTAGCCCTTTTTCTGGAACACAGCCTGTGGCTTTCTGAAGCTACCCAGACACTGTCCTGAGGGGGACACCGTCCTGAGGGGACAGTGCTTGCAAGTAAGAACGTTAAAGGCTGATCTCCTTGATGTCAGGGCACTCACACGCCGGGAAGAGAGAGCAGCCGCGGCAAGGGTGTGAGGGGTGCGGTGTTTGAGTGTCACTGATGAGTAGGAAGGAGAAATGACTCTGGCTCCGTGTGTTTATTCTGCTGCACACAGAGCTGATTAGTTTATTCAGTAGGTAGTGATTAAGCCCGTCTCAGAGGAGCCCTCCTGACCTCTGATGGGCTAGAGGAGGGGAGGTACCTTGCCAGCCCAAAGGCAGGTGGTTCGAGCACTGCAGCTGCTCTGAGGGAAGAAGAGGGAAAAATTGCTTCCTGTGAAATTTACACCCTCAGAAAATCCAGTGTCAGCCAGCTGTGAATCTCTTCTGATTCAGAGTCACATACAGTAACGTAAGGAGACCTGGTGGCCTAGTGCATATGTGTGAGGCTGCTAACTGTCAGGTCAGCAGTTTGAATCCACCAGGAGCCTGGGGGAGCCAGCTGAGCAGTATCTACCCCTTGGCAACCCCGTGGAGGCTGCTGGGAGCCGGATGGGCCAGATGCAGGGATGTGGTCTGACTCTCTATACTCCTGAGGGAGCCCTTATGGCACAGTACACTATGTGTTGGACTGCCGATGGAAAGGTCATCAGTTCAAATCTGATGGGTGCTCTGTAGAAGGATAAGGCAGTCTGCGGCCTGTTAAGATTTATGGCCTTAAGACAATTACTATTGTAAAATGGGACTGACATTGGGGTTGGGGGGAGACTGAGAAAGAGGGCATAAATAATGTACACTGCACTGAAACAGGTGAGGGAGAGAACTGTTTAAAAGGGATATATGATTAGGTATTATTGTCATGACAGGGGTCCAGAACGAAGGCTGCACAGTGGAGTAGACCTGGGGGGAGGGATTGTATAACAATGAAAGAATTTTCCTTTTACTTTTCAAAGAGAAGAGCAAACTGGAGGGGAGGGGTTGGCAGGGAGAAAAGTGCAACAGTGAATGAATGGAAATCCTAAGTCTCTGTAAATTTTCATTAAGATTAATAATAAAAAAATTTCTTTTAAATCCCAGTACAGAAAAAAAAGTAGATTTATCGCCTTAGAATCCTGGTGGGAGGGCTGCTGTGACCAGGGGTCAACATGATGGCTGTGGGTCCTGTTTCCATTTGTTTTGTTTTCTCTGTACTCCTGGAGCCCTGGTGGTACAGTAGTTAACTTGATTGTTAACCACAAAGGCCAGGAGTTCAAATTCACCAACTGCTCTTAGAAAACCACGGGCTTCTGCATCTGTGAAGAGAAGCCCGAGGGCCTGTTCTGCCCTGTCCCCCAGGGTCGCTGTGAGTCACGTTGACCCAGCAGCTGCAGGAATTTTAGTTCACACCCTTAGAAGCCCTGGTGGTGCAGTGGTCAAGCACTCAGCCGCCAATAGGAAGGTTGGAGTTCAAACCTGCCCAGTGGATTTGGGGAGACAAGCTCTGCTTCTGTGGAGAGTATCCCCGCGGGGCTGTTCCCCTCTGTCACCCGGTGTCCCTGTAAGTCAGAGTTGCCTGGACTGTTAACAGCATCCCTCTTCAACACAGGAGAGACCTCACGGATAGACCCTCTGCCCCTGGAGCCCAGTGGTTGCCAGGGTTACGCACAGCTTTCCCTCTCCTGCCCTGCCTCCCCTACCTGGAGTTTTCAAGTGGGCACCCTGTGGGGATCCCTCCTGTGTGCACTCCACTGTGAAAAGTATCCCCTCTTCTCTTCCAGTATGCCTTCCTGGTGACGGCTTCGGTGCAGTTTGCCGGGGGAATTGTCATCTTCTTTGGGCTCCTGGTGTCACCAGAGGAAATCGGTGAGGAAACCTGGCTCCTGGGCACAGCACTTCCTGTTGGGTCACAGGCATCTAAGGACAGGAAGTCACAGCTCTGCTAGAAGCCTCCACTCTGAGTGACTTGAGGGAGCCAGACTACTGTCTGGTTGTGGCCTCCTGGGGGTCTGGTGTGGTGTGGGGTTGAGGACCACAAGGCCGACTCTCCGAGACACAGGAAGGTCGTTATTGACACAAGGTCAATGACTGAGACTGGCTGACAGCTGGCAGAGGCCACTGTTCCCTCAGGAAAATGATTTGATTCTGATCTTTAATTAAAGGCAGAGGTGAACAAGCCCTACCCAAGGGCATATCTTTTGAGTATCATTAAAAATTGCTGCTATTGTTAAAAGAGATATTTCAGTTAAATAGCTTACAGACATGATTTTTGTTTTTGTGTACACACAGGAGACAATGAGATGTTGTTGAAATGGCACAGCTTTGAAGCTTCAGATAGTGTAGAATGGGAGTCCTGGGTTTGTTGCTTATGCCAAAAACAGTGCTCCTTAGAAGTCATGATGGTGAGGCTTTGTCTCACGTATTTTGGACATGTTATTAGGAGGGATCAATGCCTGGAAAAAGACATGCTTAAGTAGAGGGTCGGTGAAAGAGAGGCTGACCCCACTGAGTGATTGGTGCAGTGTCCAATGGACGTAAGCACAGAAGAGATGGGGAGGATGACACGGGACTGGGCAGTGTCGCTCTCTGCGCATCGAGGGTGTTCTGTGTCGGAGCAGACTCCGGGGCGCACAGCACAGATGGTGGGTGCCACAGGACTGGGCAGTGTCGCTCTCTGCCCACCAAGGGTGTTCTGTGTCAGAGCAGGCTCCAGGGCGTCAGCAGATATGGGGAAGATGACACGGGACTGAGCAGTGTCACTCTATGCACTCTGAGGGTGGTCTGTGTCAGAGCACGAGGGCGTTCTGTGCTGGAACAGGCTCCAGGGCGCACCGCACACATGGGGCGGATGCCGCAGGACTGGGCAGTGTCGCTCTCTGCGCATCGAGGGCGTTCTGTGTTGGAACAGGCTCCAGGGCGCACCGCACACATGGGGCGGATGCCGCAGGACTGGGCAGTGTCGCTCTCTGCGTACTGAGGGTGGTCTGTGTTGGAGCAGGCTCCAGGGCACCAGCAGCAGCAAGAGCTACTCACCTAAACTCACCTTGGCCTCTGAACATTAGCTGATGCTTCTGTAAAACAGAAATGAAAACAGTATTCACCAGTCTCTGCAGTTCTGATCACAGTGACCCCGTGTAAGCAGAGTACAGCTGTGTACCATCGGGTGTTCACTAGTGGGGTTTTTAGAAATGGATTGCCAGGCCTCTCCTCCAAGGACACCTCTGGGTAGACTGGACCCTTCTAGCCTTGGTCATGTACACCGACCAGGACATGTAGGCCATGGTGTCTGGAGGGCACACCCCACGCACAGTCTAGGCTCCTCCTAAATGGTGGCTCACATTCTTGTTTCAGGTCTCCCAGGTGTTGAGGGAGAGGAGAGTGCTGAAGAAGACTCACACCGGCCGTTAATGAACGGTGCTGAAAATGAGGATGACTGCGAACCCAGTTACTCCGTGCAGGAGGGCAGTGCTGCCGTGGCCCAGGTCAAAGCCATCAGCTTCGCTCAGGCGTGCTGCCTCCCCGGGGTCGTCCCGGTAAGGCTGTGCTCTGGTCTCGTGTGCTTTGCTCTTGTCTCATGTTACTTCTGAGCTGGCCTGCGCCTGCTGGCCTGTGTAGGCCCTTCTCCACCAGCCTCATGACCTCTCCTGACGGTGGCTTCCCTGCTGGGGGAGACGTCTGAGAGAAGCACTGGGTGGCAGGGACCTTTGTTGTGGCTGCTGGGTGCACATGTGGGGGGTGACGGCTTGGTGCCAGAACGAGCAGGAGCTGCGGGAACATTTCTGTCCAGATCTTGAGTCCGCGTGGGCTCTGCTCCCTCCATGTTGACTGCCAGGCTTTCCTGCTGATAACGGCCTGCAGCCGGCGCTCCTAGCCCAGTGCCCACCCTCCTGTCCCCAAGGGGAGAGCACCCTTGTAGGACGTTGATTTATTTTCTCACTTTGTATTCTGTTTACTTGGTTGTTGGGAATACAGACAGCAGACATACGTCAGTTCAGCAGATTCTGCAGGTCACTCTTGGGGACACAGGTTTGCTCTTCGAGTCGTGCCTTTTCTCTGTCCTGACTCCTCCTGTCAGCATCAGCTCGCTGTCTCCATATGTCACACACTTGTTTTCTGTGCCCCCAAGGCCGCTATTTCTTTCCGACTCACTGTGGTCTGTAGAGGGTTTACCTCGCTGTGGGGCTGTCCTTACACCTTGATGTGGCACCATCTGGCCTGTTCTCAGGCATTCAAGGTACTGATGTGGCCGGAAGTGCAAAAGCCATTAAGATTTGCCACTAACAATAAATGCGATTTATTTGCTCGTGGCTGGAGAGTAGTTTTTCTCTGAATAAAGATGCATGAATGTGAGCCTGGCCTGAGGGTTCCCAACTCAGGCCTGCCTCTCTGGAGCTGGTTGAGAGCAAAGGGACGCTAAGTGAGCTGGCACTTTTCTCCAAGGCCTCTGCATGCTTTCCTGGGGGCCAGCAGGGTGAGGAGCAGGGGGCCCAGGGAGAGTGAGGTCACTGGCAGTGCAGACACAGGTGTAATCATAAAACCCCATCCTAATCACCCAGAGGCCGCCGTTTTGTTTGCTGTTGATTTTCATGGAAAAGCATAACGCAGAGCTGTTTCTCACCTTCTGCTCCCATTCTCCTCGCAGTATTCCCTGGCCTACGCCTGCCTGAAGCTGGTGAATTACTCCTTCTTCTTCTGGCTGCCCTTTTATCTGAGTAAGAACTTCGGGTGGAAGGAGGCGGAAGCTGACCGGCTGTCCATCTGGTACGATGTGGGAGGAATCATAGGTAGGTGGTGACAAGTCTCCTGAGTGCACAGTTAGTCTTTCCTGGCTATGAAGTCTGGCGCCATTCAGTGTTTTATTACTGACCTCACCGTCTGCAGTAAAGGGCCAGTCCCTTCGAGGCTCGGCTCTCCACGGGAGGCCCTGCCAGGCAGCTGTGGTTTAAGGGCCTCTTCATCACAGTCCTTTGGTCTTTTGTCTTGAGAGGCATGTGATGTGTCCCTTTGTAGTCCCTCTGAATGTAACCCTTTGTCCACTCTCAGTGTCCAAGATCAAAGTTAGAATGTGACTGTTCATTTTCCCTGCCACCTACCCCCACCCCCGGCTGAAGATTGAAAAGTGACCCGCAGGGTCATGAGGCTGGTCACAGAGAACAGGGGTGAGACGGGAGAACGGGGTGGCTTTGCATGGTCTGCGAGGACAGAATCATAAACAGGTTCTGAGAGAACATATTCCTGTAGCATTAAACATGGTGAGATTTCTAAATGGGCATCTTACATGGCCATGGCAAGTTCTTAAGGCCTTTCTGTGATGTGTGCTTTCAGGATTAAGGTAAGACTAAACTGCCTGGACCACATGTAAACAAACAGTATGTCCCTGGGTGGCACGCTTTTATTGTACTTGAACTCTTCAGTCCTGACCTCAGATCCAGGCCTGGAGCTGAGGTGGTGTCCTTTAAAATCACATGATGCCCGGAAGGCTCACCACCTGGTTATTCGGAAGGTTACAGAGTTTAGCGTGTAGTTGCTGTTAGGTGCCTGCTCTGTGAGGGCCACCACAGGCTCAGATCTCAAGACAGGGCTGTGACGTGATGCCCGGAAGGCTCACCAGCTGGTTATTAGGAAGCGACTGTTAGGACGTTCAGTGTGTTGTTGATGTTGTTAGGTGCGAGTCTGTACGGCAGGAGGGAGCACTGCCCAACCCTGCAGTGTCCCGAGGCCTTGTTGTGCCCAGTGTGCGTGGGCCCATTACGAAGCCAGCGTCTCATGCCTCGTTGAGGGTCTTTTTCACAGACCCTTTCCTTTACCAATCATCATGTCCTTCTCTAGGACTGGCGCCTCTTGATAATGTGTCTGAAATATGTGAGATGAGGCTTTCCCATCCTAATTTCTAAGGATCATTCTGGTTGCTCTTTATTTTGGCAGGTCATGACGACATACTCAGTATCAAAGACATCAGATCTTGGGTTCTCCATGTTCACTGTCTACCTTACACACACACACACACACACACACACACACACACACAGTCTGGAAAGACCATGTTTTGAGTCTGGTACACCGTCGTCCTAAAAGTTACACCCTTGCTCTTTAACATTTAAGAGGGCCTCTGCAGCACGTACGACCAATGCAGAAGGTCATTTAGTCTCTGAATTGCTGCCTCCATGGTCCCTGTTTATTGGCCCCTGTTAGTAACCCGCGGGGCTCTCTGCTGGCCTCGTGGGCCAGGGGTTGTACTGACAACCCAAAGGCCGGCAGTTTGGATCCACCGGTTTTTCTGTAGGAGGTAGATGAACAGTCTCCGGTGTGATTCACAACCGCTGCAAACTGCCTGGAGGGTCAGCCGTGGGTCACTTCCAACTGTACAGTACACAACTACAACAGCACGCACAGCCTGTGAGGCTCTTAGCACAAACATCTCAAGAGAAAAAGGATGGCAGTCGTGCAGAGGTCTTTTCTAGAAGAGAAGCAGTAAGGGCTAGTGGACGATGTGAGCAGACTTCCCTGGTCTGTGTTTTGGGGTGCCCTGTCCCCAGTCATCTCAGCAGTCAGTAGGCAGTCGTCTTGGGGTCAGGGCGTCAGAGCCTGTCGGGGTGCTGATGGTGAGGCTGGGTATGGGCTGTGCATGCTGACCATGCTGTGTCCCCATGCAGGTGGCACTCTGCAGGGCTTTGTCTCCGACCTGCTGCAGGAGAGGGCCCCGGTCCTAGCTCTGAGCCTGCTGCTGGCCACCGGCGCCCTGGTGGGGTACAGCCGTGAGTATTGCTCTGCCATGAAGGGGTTTCCTGGCCTCCAAGGACAGCCAGTAGTCTGCTGGGGGGACAGTGGAGATGACCATGAAGCCAAGCCTCGGCCCTTCCTCCCTGGTTCATGTGGTTGGGTGTTTCCAGAGACCTCCTCGCTCTGTCACTGGGTTCAGAGTGAGCTTGGCAGCTCCGGCCAATAGAAACAAACGGAGAGGGCTCAGAGAGACTTTCTCAAGTCCCTGAGCTTAGCACCAGCTTGAGGCAAAAGATAGAAGACAGGGAGGGGGCAGCGAGAGAGTATCTTGGTGGCTGTGGGTTGACGTGGGGGGTCCCAGCCTCACTGGTATGTCTTTGTGGGGCCTGTGTGCCACTCTGTGACGTCACCTATGACCTCTCTTCTCACAGGCTCTCCTGACAACAAGTCCATTAATGCTCTTCTGATGACAGTCACAGGTACGACTCCTCCCCACTCAGCCCTGCCCTTTCAGCCTTGGCCCCCTCTCTCGCCTACCCTGCACACCCCTCTGGGAGTTAGGGTGAGTGAAGCTTGCCGCTGCCTCGTTGACTCCTGCTTCTCTGGGCTCTGCTCCTCCAGTTCTCGCCTCCATCCTGTCGGGACGGCCCAGGGATTTCGCAAAACCTTGCAGTCTGGCTTCTGACGTTTTTAGGAGGTAGTCATCAGTGAAACACCTGATGAAGGCTTCAGGCTTGAGGCTGCCCGCCCCAGTAAGCAAACGAAACCCCATTTGCTTCCCCATAGTCAGCCTAGAGGATGGCGCTCTGGGGAGAAGGTGGTGGTGATTCACTTCTGGCCCTGCCTCTGTCTCACAGCCCATGTGCCACGCCACACTGGGTCTTTTTGAATTTTGTCCCCCCATCTATCTCTTGTACAGTAAAAGAAATAAGGGGGGGGGAGAAATATGGAAGCATCAACCAGACACACGTAACTTACAATCCAGTATCTCATGGGTGTTTCACTTCTGCTGTCCGAGGAAGGCACACACTGCGTGTTGTTTAGAAGCTAGCTTGGGGAGGACGGTGGCAGAGGGGGGCTCGCGTGTGGCCTCGGCAGAGAACCTGCTGGCGGGTCAGCTGTGTGAGTCGTTCCGGCTCCATCCCTGGCCTGAGGTTGAGCTTTATTACTCGGCCATTTCTTTTTTAAAAGCGATGCTGATCGCTGGTGTGTGGCCTGTGTGTATCGGTCCTCCTGTTTACTGCCTTAGTGATGTTTCCTGTGGTGCTTACGACACCGAGGCCCTGGTGTTGGGGATCTGGAGAGGCCCCCTTCATCTGGTCCAGCTCCATCACTTATAGTTGTGGGAACTAAGACCCCGATTTTCATCCGTTTCCTTGAGGACACGAGTCTGTGTAGATGTGAGGTTCCAGTCCTGGGTGGCTTTCCCACTGCGCACGCCTGTCCGCCCATTGAGGTTACCCTGGAAGCTGTCTGAGGTCGCTGTCATTTAGTCTGTGTGCTCCACCATTACACCTGCATAGCCATGTGTGCCCTCACCTGCTGCTCAGTGCTCGGCCCGTAGGCACCACAGACCCAGCCCTGTGAGTGGCGCTCACCCACGGCTCCGTCAGGACCTCCCGGGGCTGCTGTTTTACACACATGCACGTGTTCGTTTTTATGTTCCAGTTAAAACAAAGACTGGATTAGTAGCTTTCTCATCACTGGTGGACTCCCTCTCCAGAGCCTGGAGACACTCTGACATACATAGGTCTCCTCCATAAACACAAAGCTTGGATCCCTGAGACTTGGCCTCCACACAGCCCCTGTGGCCTCCTCAGCTCTTTGTTTTGTTTCATTTTTTAAATAAAATTGTATTTTAATTGTGATTTTTAATGAACATTTACAGAGAAGTTAGATATCGTTCGTTGCTGCACGTTTTACCCTGTCTCCTTTCCCACTCGCCAAGTTCACTTCATTGTTGCACAGTTACCCACCCCCCCCACCCCCTCCTCGGCTCTGTCCCTTGGTGTCCCACCTGGTGATGACAGGGGACGTGGGCACCCACTGTGAGGAGAGTGGGCGTGGGGAGTGTGCATGAGTGGCCCAGGCCTGCTGGTGCAGGCGAGCTCAGTCTAGCTAACAGGGTGTTGACTGGGCCTTGTGGGTCTCTGCATTTCCAGAAACGTTAGCTTTATAGGACCCTCCAGGCTAGGCTGTCCCAGGGCGAGGCTTCAACGTGGGTGGACAGTCTTTGTAGTCAGAATTGCTCCTTGAATCTGAGCAAGGCGCTCCTCAGCCAGTCCTCTCTTCTGTAGGAAAGAATCAGGCACCAGATGCAGTTCAGGGTGAAACTGGCCCTGAGTGTTAGCCAGGTGGGGAAAGGCTTGTGCTCTGTGAAGCCCAGGGAGTGGCTCCAGCCATGGAGCTGTCTGTGGGTTCTAGGGTGACTCCGAGAGGGTAGTGGTCACATCCTCCTTGTCTTCTGCACCATGTTGGACTGTGTTAGGATATTTGGGTGTGTGCATATGTGGTGTTACGCGCTGTAAAAGGCTCATGAACTTAGCTGTAAGGAAGGCAGCATCACAGGCAGGGAGGGGCTCTGTGTACATCTGTGTCCTTGTAGCATTGGGTCCAAGTGAACACACAAGAATGCCACATGATTCTCAAGAGATTTCATGATTGTGGAAGCCACCTACACTGAAGGTGACACCATGGGGACAGTGGCCACTTTTGGTGACTTCCAGTGTGTGAGAGTTTACTGCACTTGGTGTCAGGAATAACATTTGTCTAAGAAAGAGTTATTTCCAACTCCAGGGTTTTTTATTGGCGGACCATCTAACATGATTAGCTCTGCAATTTCTGCTGATTTGGGGCGCCAGGAACTGGTTCGAGGGAGCAGTGAGGCATTGGCCACAGTCACCGGCATTGTTGACGGAACCGGGAGCATCGGAGCTGCAGCGGGCCAGGTGAGAGCAACGGGCCAGGTGAGGGCAGGAGAGTCAGATGTGAGCAGGGCCCAGGTGAGGGCAGTGGACCAGGTGAAGGCAGGGGACAAGGTGAGAGCAGTGGGCCAGATGTGGGCAGAGGCCTAGGTGAGGGCAGTGGACCAGGTGAGAGCAGGGGGCCAGGTGAGGATAATGGGCCAGGTGAGAGCAGGGGACTGAGTGAGAGAAGGTAGTCAAGTGAGAGCAGGAGAGTCAGGTGTGAGCAAGGGACCAGATGAGAATATAGGACCAGTGAGGGTACGGGCTCTGTCTGGACATGGACCTGAGTGGGTCCTGCCCCTGCCTTGAATCCCTTTCTCCTTTTTGAGTCTAGATTTGGAGATCATCTGCACAGGTCGAAACAATACATGATGAAGGTTTTACTGGAGAGGAAATGAAGTAGCAAAAATGACCTCCAGTGAGAATGTCCGGTGGTCAAATATGGGTTGTGACGAGTGCAGTGTGTTGTCTGGGGCAGAGGCTCTGAGGAGGGGCAGTGTGTAGGGGTCAGCGCTAGGAAAAAGATACTAAAAACGGTTTGCGTTGAGTTGATGCTCACTCATAACAGCTCGCAGTGCAGAGCAGAGCTGACCACAGTTTCCAGGGGTGTGGATCTTATGTGGAGGCAGGTTGTGCCTCACTTTCTCCCACACAGTGTCTGGTGGATTGGAACTGCTGACCTTGTGGTTAGCAGCCCTGCACTTGAAGCATTAAACCACCAGGGCTGCTTGTCTTGATGGGTGGCTGCCACTGATGGCCTGCTAGGTGGGGGAGGAGCGCCCTCTGCTGGCGGCTCACCACAGCATCCTCAGCTGCTGGGCTCAAACCATTGACCTTCCTTCAGTCAGGGAACTGTGGGAATGTGCGGAGGAGCGTTGAAGTTTGCCCTTTCGATTGGTGAGCTTAATGTTATGCAAATTAAACCTCTAGAAAGTGGTTCAGGAGGTCAGGTTTGCAGCGCCTCAGAGCTTTAGGGGGTATGAGACTTCCCTTGTCCCCTTTCCACCTGGGGTCCAGGCCATGCCCTTCTGCTTCTGGCCTCCTCTTACACACATCAGTGACAAAACCCATGGCAGTGCACTGTGTCAAGTTGTCAACCAAATGGACAGTGGTTCAAATCCAGCAGCTGGGTTAAGTGCCAGTGGAGCTTTTCCCGCGATTGGGAGTGGAGTGTGCTGCAGAAATGTAGTCATCTTGAACTGAGAGCAGGATTGAGGTGGGGAGAGCCTGGAAGCAAGCCTTCCAAGAGCCTCGAACAGCATGTTTCCCGAGAAGAAAGACGACGTGACGTGGCTGGAGACTGGTCGCCTTCTCATGATGGAGGAGGAATGAGGCCTTCGAACATCTTCGCTCTCTGCCCTACGGTTTTTGTGTCGTCCATGAAGTCTGCACAGAGACTAGTGTCATTTGCTGCAGAGCTTTAGCTCCCAGCTCTTCTTCCTGCTCCCATGCAGCCATGGCTAATCTGCATTTTAGCAGTCTTATTAATTGCAGAATTATCATATTATAATGTCTTTCTTTCTTTCTTTCTTTCAGTATCTGGTGTCTTTGATCCAGGATAAACTTGGATGGATGTGGGTTTTCTATTTTTTCATTCTCATGGTGAGTGTGTGGGCTTGGTTTTTATTTTCTTACTAACTGTCCTGCACTGTTCTTTAAGGCTCTCAGGAACTTTATTGACTTGATAGCTTTGTCAAAAATAACATCTAAAATGTCAGACTTTGTTCTTTTTAGGCTTGGGAATGGTCCCAGTTGGCCTTTGTCCTGAGTCTAAGTAGTGGTGTTCCTTTGGCATCTCACAGAATCTGATGGGGGAGACCTGGCATGGTGTCACAGGCTCACAGCCTCTGAGCAGGGTCCTCTCCCCTGGCCGCAGGGTCCTCTACCCTGGTCAGTGGAACGTGGCGAACCCGAGGGAGGGAGTGTATGTGTGGCAGCCGGGGGCAGGCATGCGTAGCTATGGCCCACGAGTGGATTCTGACCTGGGGGCCAGCTCCTGGATGCTCGTTTTGCCGGAGGCACAGTGTTGGGGCTCTGTGCTGCCGAGAGATTGTGCAGGGTGATGCCTGGTGCTTTCCTGGGGGGCACGGCTGTGGGGTTCTTCACCACTGAGAGGTTGTACAGGGTGGTGCCGGGTGCTTTGCTGGGGGGCACAGTGATGGGGTTCTGCACCGCTGAGAGGTTGTACAGGATAATACCGGGCGCTTTGCTGGGGGGCATGGTGATGGGGCTCTGCGCCTCTGGGAGGTTGTGCAGGATGATGCCGGGTGCTGTGCAAATGTTAGTTTCCTTGCGCGGCACGCGGTATGCTCTGTGACACTGGTGGTGACAGTGCTTACCACGGGCTCCTTGTGGTTTGCTGGCTGCCTTCAGCATGCTGTGCATCATGTCAGGTCGATCCCACCATGTGACGACCCTGTAGGACAGGCCTATGGCCCATTGAGTTTCCTAGTTCACAGCCTCTCGGGCAGGTCAGGGCTTTCTCCCGTGTGCTGCGTGGGTTTGACCTGCCAGCCTGACGGTTAACACCTGAGCGCCTAACCGCTGCATGATCAGGGCGTCTTGCCGGGGGCACCTGGCTTCCTCTGCCGCCACGTCACCCTGCATGAGGCTGAGCTTGTGGGTCCCGGAGCTCCCCGGGCTGACTCCAGCGGGCGGGTGCCGGGCTGTCTCAGCTGGTGCTGTTTGTGCCTGCGTCCCTTCATCGCTGTCCTTGTCACAGTGAGAGACAGATCTCAGAGGGTGCTCTCTCCTGCCGACCCCGTCGGTGTGATGTGCTTTGTCGTTTATTGATCCAGCTGTGAAGGCTTTCTTCCTCTTTATACGCAGCTGTAACCCACATGCCTGTAATCCACACTGAGGGCTATAGTCTTTCACCTCCATTAGTAAAAGGAGGGCGGCTTCAGAGGGCCCCATTTGGCCACTCCATAATCGCACCTGCCACTTCTCTCCTCTTTTCTTCTGCCCTGATTGTGTTCTCAGCTGAGACCCTCGGGCCCTGGCTGGCTGCCATGGGGTTAGGCATCACTAGCAGACCTAGCTGTGTCCTGCATCACACAGACATTCCATAGCCCTGTCCAGATGCAGAGCAGAGGAAACCGTGGTTTCTATCTTTGTCTTCATACTCAGCGCTGCCTACTGTGTACTTCAGTCTGTAGCATTAAATCCTTTAAAATATTAACTGTAGTTTATGAATCCTCCCTTATCTGAGATGACATATTTTCTGTGGTCACAGTAAAGGTGGCTGTCCGTAAAGACTTCCCTGAGATGCTCTGGCTGTGCAGCTGCAGTGGACAGGGCAGGGCGGGCTGTAGTGGACGGGACGGGGCTGCAGTGGGCAGGGCGGGCTGTAGTGGACGGGACGGGGCTGCAGTGGGCAGGGCGGGCTGCAGTTCATGGGACGGGGCTGCAGTGGGCAGGGCGGGCTGTAGTGGACGGGACGGGGCTGCAGTGGGCAGGGCGGGCTGCAGTTCATGGGACGGGGCCGCAGTGGGCAGGGCGGGCTGTAGTGGACGGGACGGGGCTGCAGAGGGCAGGGCGGGCTGCAGTTCATGGGACGGG